AAAAAAAAAGAAAGAAAGAAACCTGCCTGCCCCGGCGCCATATTGTATCGATCTTGACACTTACTGTCCCCACCCGTGGGACTCACGTGGCGCCTGGCAGGCAGGGGACGGGGGTGTGAGTTGCCAGGCTGGGCAGAGGCCGGGGCAGACAGCAGGCGTGAACGTCCCACCCACCACAGGGAAGAATCCCACGGACGAGTACCTGGAGGGCATGATGAGCGAGGCCCCGGGGCCCATCAACTTCACCATGTTCCTCACCATGTTCGGGGAGAAGCTGAACGGCACGGACCCCGAGGACGTGATCCGCAACGCCTTTGCCTGCTTCGATGAGGAGGCCTCAGGTCAGCAGCCTCTGCTTGGAGGCCTAGCATGGTCGGGCCAAGTACACCCCCAGGCCACCCATGCATGCCAGGGAGGGGACTGGCGGTGGTGGGGCCCGGCCACTCTGGGCCTTCAGCGTTCCTACCCCAAGAGCCAGAGCAGACGTGACCCACATACTGGTTCCCGCAGGCAGAATTATAGAGGCCAGGCTGCCTCCTTGTCCTCTCCCTACAGCACTAGGCTGAAACGGCCATGGCCACCCTATTCCATCTGGCCTTTTGGCCCCACCACACTCCTCCTCTGCCTCAGGTCTTTCCAGAAATCATGCCTCTCTTACCAACAGGTACAGAAAGCAGACCTCACCCTCAGACCCTCCTGAGGACTTCCTGTTCCTTAGCTGGTTTTCCTCAGGGGCACGCAGAGCGATGGGCACGTCACTGTACCTCTAGGGCCCTGGGCCCACCCCAAGCCTGGGCCTGTTCAGAACACTTTCCTGAAAACTGCCTTCACAGTCAGTCCCCCACCAGGCCAACATGTTTTCTTCTCCCTCTGCTGGATCAGATAGGCACAGAGAGGTCAGGTTTCTTGCCCAAGGCCACACAGCTAGGAAGAATGAGAATCAGTGTCTTCCACCTCGGCCAGTGGGACTCACGCTCTTATAACAGGATGTACCCACACCCACTGTACTTACAGCCCCGAGTCCCCACAGGACACCTGACGGATGGCCTCATGGCAGATCTCCCTCTGGGACCCTGGCGAGCCCTCTCCCCTGTCCTCATTCTTTGAACTGACCAGAGACCGGCCTTTTGTCGTCCTGGCCCCTCCCCTCCTTGGGGTCTCAAGGGCAGGTGGGGGCAGAGGGGTAGGGGTGCTTGGTGCATCCCAGCCAGAGTCCCTGCCCTCATGGACTGCGGCCCTGCCCCCAGGCTTTATCCACGAGGACCACCTTCGGGAGCTGCTCACCACCATGGGTGACCGCTTCACAGACGAGGAGGTGGACGAGATGTACCGCGAGGCGCCCATTGATAAGAAAGGCAACTTCAACTACGTGGAGTTCACACGCATCCTCAAACACGGCGCCAAGGACAAGGACGACTAGGCGGCCGACAGCCCGCACCCAGGCCCCACCCCAGGCACTCCCCACACACTCGCCTCTGCCCCCTCCATGCCCACGACCCAACAGGACCCTCTCAGGGGATCATCCTTGGAGGGGCTAGGGTCCCAGCTCCCAGTGGAGGAAACAGGCCCTAGAGGCACAGGGCCAGGCAAGGAACACGCAGCCACAACCGGGAGGGATTCTGACTGTCCCCTGGGGAGATAGGCCAGAGGGCACGAGTGGGCGACAACAAGAGAGGGCCCCTCGAGAGCCCAGGCCTCGCTGTGGCCCGCCCAGTCCTGGCTGCCCCCCAGAGGAAGGGGCCCTACATCCTGGTGTCAGAAACCACTTCCCGTGCATCCCCACATGAACACGTGAGCTCACCCAGGTCCCCTCTCAGAGGACAGGACGCTGGAGCCCTCCCCTCCACCCTGTGCAGCCACAGAACACGCCAGCCCCACTGTGTGCTCGGGAGATGTGGAGAAGTGGACAGGATGTTTGTTGCCGGGAGGCAGACTCCAATAGAAGGCTGAGCACTGCTTCGGGTCTGTGTGTCTGTGGGGGGTGAAACACGGGACCCCCGGGCCCTGGACCCCTGCTCCTCCCACCTCCAGTGGCTTCCCTGACTGGGGAGGGCTGTGTGTCCTCCAGCCATAGGGTCCTTGAAGCCTTAGGGTCAGAGTCCCTCAGCAGGAGGCTCTGTGGATAGAGGGAACAGCCCTCCTGGCCTTTGGGATCAAGGGAGGGAGAAGCCACAGGAATCCCCACAGCCAGTGCCAGTCAAGGTTCTGGGCTTCCAAAGGGGCAGAGGTCATGGTCATCCCAAGGCTCTGGGAAGGCCGAATATTCCTGGAAGATTAGGGAGGCTGGGAACAGTGCTGCGGGAGGCGGGCATGCCAGCCCTGCAGGGTAGGGGTGGAGTGAGAGGGTGTGCCAGCTGGGCTCCTCCCTCACCCCCAGTTCCAGGCAGCTGCTGGTGTACTCTGGGCTCTGTCCTCGGCAGCTGTGAGGCAGTTCAGCTGCAAGCCAGCAGTGCAGGGGCGTCACAGCCTTTTACATGCCCCTGCGTGTGGGTGACAGGGACGCTGACCACAGTGTCTGGAGCATAGAGGCAAGTGGAAGGACTGCACAGGAGCCAAGAGGCACTGCCTGGGTCCTCTTTGGCTGTGCGTCTGAGGCAGACAGGGCCGGACCCACCACCAGGTTCAGGCTGGGACTGCGCAAGGTCAGGGAGCATCGCTGGGCCCAGCTTAGTCCTGCTGCCTTCTCTAGGGCCACCCAGAGCCAGGCCAGCAGCCATGGCACAGCAGAGGTCCAAGGGCAGAGCCTACGGGGTGTGAAGTACCAAGAGGTCCCTGCCCAGCCTGGGAGGCCCTAACCTCCCCCAGCCTCGGCACCAGGCCCTCCCAGCGAGGCCCTGGTCAGAGGCCAGGTGGAACTCTATCGTGGCTCCCAATTGAGCCCACATGTCCCTGATCCTAACTCCAGGTGGGGCCAACCCAAGTCCCACACCAGACCCAAATGCTATCCCATACTCAGGCCTAGCCAAACCCTCAACCCTGGTCCCAGACTGTGGGGGCCAGCTCAACCCAGGGCCCTCAGCCTGGCCACCCAGTCACTGCTGCCAGCCCAGAGCAGGAAGGGGGAGCCTCTGGGTATTCTCCCACAGCATGGCCACCTACACCCAACGACGAGGTCACCAAGTCCTCTCGGCAGAGACACCAAAGGCCTCTCTGAAAGAAGGTAGGGACATGTCAGAAACAAACCTCCCTTGGGACCAGCAGTTGACGTAATGACTATGTCGCTGGACTCCCATGTAGTCGACCACAGTTTGAGTCCTGGACCTGGTGGCTTAAACTCATGCAGGGCGCGTGTGCATGCGTGCCCAAGATCCCAAGAGGAGAATGGAGGAGAAGGGATTTCTGCATGGCCATCCCCACTGGTGGTGATTTCTCACTTTCTATCTCTCGGTCTCTCTCTGTCTTTCTGGCGAGCACACACACCCTATACCAACAAAACCTCTCAAAAAAAAAAAGAGAGAGAGAGAGAGAGAGAGAGGAAAAGTGAAGAGGGAGAGAGAGAGGAAAAGTAAAAAAGCACGCTGCCAAGTCCAGGACTTGAACCATGGTTGGCCATGTGGGAGTCCAGTGCCCTTAACCACCATGCCACCTGCCAGACCCTATTTACTTATTTATTTTAACTTGACCAGAGACAGACAGAGTGAGAGAGAGCAAGAAAGAAAGTAACCCCCACCAGGTCTGGAGACTTGAACCACAGTAGGCCATGTGGGAGTCCAGCACCTTTTTTTTTTGGAGAGGTTTTCGCTATAGGACGCGTGCGCTCGCCAGACAGACAGAGACAGAGAGACAGAAAGCGAGAAATCACCCCCCAGGAGGGATGGTCACGCCGCAATCCCTTCTCCTCCATTATCCTCTCGGGATCTTGGGCACGCACGCACATGCGCCTGGCATGAGTTTTAAGCCACTGGGTCCGGGATGCGAACCACGGTCGACTAGGTGGGAGTCCAGCGACATAGCCATTACGCTAACTGCTGGTTCCTGGGAGTCCAGCACCTTTAACCACCATGCCACCTGCTAACCCCAGAATTTTAGTTATTTTTATGTATGACTTTTTTTCTTTTTTTCTTTTCTTTTTTTTTTTTTTTTAATTTGACCAGGGAGAGAGAGAAAAAGAGAGGGAAAGTGAGAAAGCAAGCTACCAAGTCCAGGACTCAAACCACAGTCAGCCATGTGGGAGTGTCCAGCGCCTTAACCATCACTCCACCTTTTGGCCCCATTTCCTAGCATTCTTCTAGTTTTAATTATTAGACTTATATCTTTGAAGAAAATGTCAGAGATGTTCATAATTACATTCCCAGAAACAATCATTATATCTGAAAAAAAGTTGTGAGACCTCAGGCAACTCACAGTTGTTAACTTTTATTTATTTATTTATTTTTATTTTTTTAGAGAAAGGTATTTTTCACTATAGGGTGTGTGCACTCGCCAAAGAGACAGAAAGCAAGAAATCACACCCCCCCCGGGGGGGGCATGGCTGTGCAACAATCCCTTCTCCATTCTTCACTCGGGATATCGGACACACATGCATACGACCCAGTGTGAGGTTTTTGTGTGTGTGTGTGTGTGTGTGTGTGTTTTAAAGAATTATTTTATTTATTTATTTTAGTTTGAGCAGAGAGGGACAGAGTGAGAGAGAAAGGGAAAGTGAGAAAGCAAGCTGCCAGGCCCGGGACTTGAACCAGAGTTAACCATGTGGGAGTCCAGCATCCTTAACTACCATGCCATCTGCTAGCCCCCCAGAGTGAGTTTTAAGCCACCAAGTCTGGTACTACATGGGAGTCTAGTGATGTAACCATTATGCCATCTACTGGTCCCAATATTTATTCTATATTTTATTTTTTAAAGAATTATTTTATTGAGGGGCCAGCAGGTGGTGTAGTGGTTAGAGCACTGGACTCCCACATGGCCTACTCTGGTTCAAGTCTCAGATCTGGTGACTTGCTGTCTCACTTTCTGTGTCTCTCTGGTGAGCGCATGTGACCTGTGGCAAATTGAAAAATAATAATGATAGGGAACCAGCAGTTAACGTAATGGCTATGTTACTGGACTCCCACCTAGTCGACCGTGGTTTGCGTCCCGGACCCGGTGGCTTAAAACTCATGCCAGGCGCGTGTACATGCATGCCCAAGATCCTGAGAGGAGAATGGAGAAGGGATTGCAGCATGACCATTCCCCCTGGGGGGTGATTTCTCGCTTTCTGTCTCTGTCTCTATGTCTCTCTCTCTGTCTGGCGAGCGCACGTGCCCTATAGTGAAAACCTCTCCAAAAAAAAAAAAAAAAAGAATGATAAATAAAATTAGATAAATAATTCTTTTTAAAAAAGAATTATTTTATGAGTTTATTTATTATTACTTTTTAATTGGACCAGAGAGAGAGTGAAAGCAATCTCTCCCAGAACTTGAACTGCAGTTAGCCATGTGGAAGTCCAGCATCTCAACCACCGTGCCACCCGTCAGCACCCCCAATATTTATTTTTGTATTTGTTTCTTTCTTTTTTAGAGAGAGGTTTTTGCTATAGGGTGCATGCACTCACTAGAGAGACAAAGACAGAGAGAAAGGAAGCAAGAAATCAGCCCCCAAGGTGCATAGCCACACTGTAATCCCTTCTCCTCCATTCTTCTCTCTGGATCTTGGGCATGCATGTACATGCACATGGCATGAGTTTTAAGCTGCTAGATCTGGGACTTGAATCATCTTAGGCTACGTGGGAGTCCAGCAACATAACCATTATGCCATTTGCTGCTTCCTATATTTATTTAAAAAATGTTTAAGCAGGGGCCAGCAGATGGTATAGTAGTTATATTACTAGACTATTACTATTACTAGTTATATTACTAGACTCCCACATGACTGACCACAGTTCAAGTCCTGGACCCTGTGACTTGAAACTCTTGTCAAGTGTGTGTGCATGTATGTGTACCCAAGACCCTACAAGGAGAATGGAGAAAGAATTGCGGCATGACCATCGCCCTTGGGGTAATTTCTCAATATCCCTCTTGCTATTTCTGTCTCTCTCTCTCTCACTCTGGCAAGAGCATGCCCCTAAGGTAAAACTACAAACATAAATAAATAAATAAAATGTAAGTGTAGTGTGACCAGCAGATGGCATAATGGCTGTGTTGCTGCACTCCCATGTAGTTGACCACAGTTCAAGTCCTGGACCCAGTGGCTTAAACTCATGCCGGGTGCGTGTGCGTGTGTGCCCAGGATTCTGAGAGGAGAATGGAGGAGAAGGGAATATGGCGTGGCCATCCCCCCCCACCCCGGGGGGATTTCTTACTTTCTGTCTCTCTGTTTCTCTTTCTAGTGAGTGCACATGCCCTGTAGTCAAAAAAAAAAAAAAAAAAACGTGTGGTAAAAATATGCATAGCATAAAATTTGCCACCTTAACTACTTTTAAGTGTCCATTTGAACAGGGTCAAGTACAATCACACCACCCATCTTCAGAGCTTCTTCATCACCTCCAGCAAAACACCGGCCCCCATCCCTAGGCAATGTTTACTCTCTTTTTTGCTTTTTTTAAGTAAAGGGTGTGTGCACCAAAAATAGAGAGGTAAAGATAGAAAACACTAACCCATGGGGCATGGTCACACCACAGCCCCAGTGTGCTCAGAGAGGTTCAAGGACATGAACCCGGGACTTTTCCCATGTGTGGGTCCAGATGCATCATCACTGCACCACCACCTACCTCCAGGTTTGTTTTATATATTAGTATTAAATTCACCAAAGCTGAACTTTGCCAACATTTAAACACATCAATCTCATTGCTTCTCATTTCATACTCATTATTTGTAAGCATTATAAACCAAGATGAAAAAATTTATTTTATTATTTCATTCTGTTTATAATTTTAATTGGGCCAGAGAGAGACAGAAAGCGAGGGAGAGAAGGAAAATGAGGGGCTGGCAGGTGGCATAGTGGTTAAAGGTGTTGGACTCCCACATGGCTGACCACGGTTCA